GTGTGTGTGTGTGTGTGTGTGTGTGTGTGTGTGTGTGTGTGTGTGTGGTGGTGGTAGGGGGGGTGGGGTGATTTGGCATAAGGGCCAACATGCTCATTTAGTCGTTCTCTGTGTGTTTTTGCAGAGTGACAAGGTGAATTATGAGCACTTCAGAAACTGGCTGCTGCAGAACAAGGAAGCCTTCACGTTTTCCCGATGGCTTCTGTCTGCAGGAGTGTGTGTCACTCTGACAGATGACAGTGACACACCCACTTTCTACCAGACCCTGGCTGGTGTCACACACTGTAAGTAATTCAAAAAATAATGAAGCTGAAGCAACAGAACTGCACAAAATATTTACTGATTTTTTTTTTTTTTTCAAGACCGGATGCTAATCAAGTCAAATTTAGAGCAAATTATTTTTTTACAGACTTGGTATTTTTTCATTCATTCATTCAACCTTTATTTAAACAGATAAATCACATTGAGCCCCAAAGACTCATTTACAAGTGAGACCTGTTTGGACAAAAACAGTGGTTAACTGGACACATGTAGGAGTTGGAGGTGAAAAAAATTCCCATCAGACTTTTTTCTTGGCTGAGAAAAACCCCTAATATTGAAAAAACACCTCGCACAAACAAGCACATATTTACATAGACATTCTGCAGAGCAAAGCAGGAAGAAGGAAGAGACGAGAGCGGTCAACAGCGCTTATAGATGCTCTCGAGGTCACTGTAATCAGTCAATGTCCTCCGGTGAGATCCATAAACATTCTCGAGGTATGTCGAGGAATGGCCAAGAATAACATCTATGAGAATCCAGAGTCCTGAAATGATGACACAAAGTTTTTTCAGCAGGGTTTCATCTGGTTATCTGGTTTTACTTGACAGCCTTTTACTTTTTTTTTCATTCATTCAACCTTTATTTATACAATTTAGTCTCATTGAGTCTTGGGGACTCATTTACAAGAGAGACCTGTTTTCAACAAAGAACACAGATGAGGTACAGACAACAATGGTGTGGTATATAGTTTATTCATTTAAAAAAAGTACAAAACAATTCCATAACAATATAAAAAATACAAAAGATTTAAAATGAAAGGCAGCAGAAAGAAGAAAACATCTTATTATATCTGCCCCTTTTTTCAAACAATTATTTCAATCATAATAATCTTCAAGTAACAGTACAAAATGAATAACTCTTTCTAATTTTTCTAATTCTAATACAAAACACACACTAAGCTACTTCATATATATTTTTTTAACAATTCAGTTTTGATCTTTTTCTTAAATGTACACATTGACTTGTCATTTTTCACATCACTCTCTAGACCATTCCACAATCCAACTCCTTGGATTGAGGTAGACCTTCCCTTCAGACTAGTTCTGAATGTTGGTTTGACAAATATCTCTATCCCCTTGAGATTATAACAACTTTGTCTTTTAACAACATTTCTTTGGATATTTAAAGGTAATGTGTTATTTTGAGCCCTATACATAACTGATAAAATACTGTAATCTACCAAATCATGGAACTTCAATAAGTTCAGTTGATAAAATAATGTGCTTGATGGGTGACAGTAATGCTTTCTGGTGATAATTCTTACAGCTCTTTTCTGTCAAATAAAAATAGGTTTTGTAAATGTTTTACAGGCTTTCCCCCAAACATCAATGCAATAGATTAAATGTGGAACAATGATTGTGTTATACAACATGTACAGAGCTTTATCATTTAATAATTCCCTGACTTTGTATAGTACTGCAATAGATTTAGATATTTTTGTTCTTACAGAATTTATGTGATTTTTCCATGTTAGCTGTTCATCAATGATTACACCCAAAAACTTCATCTCATTAACTCTACAAATCTCAACACCCTCAATTTTAAATGGATCATCAACAGTTCTCTTTTTGTTACTACATATCATGTATTTAGTTTTATCTAAATTTAATGCTAATTTATTAAGTTTAAACCAAGTTTGTATTTTATCAAATTCTGTCTTCATCAATTCCAACATCCGTTTTACATCTTTACCCAAACAGAAAATGTGGTGTCATCTGCAAAAAGGACACATTTGAGGAGTCCTGATACATTCACTAAGTCATTCACATATAAAATAAATAACTTTGGTCCAAGTACAATAAACAATCATAAAAAAGCATATCAAATAAAAAGTAAGTAGAAGAAATTATATAACAACAAAACAAGCAGCTACATTATACAGTGATATATACTGATGGAGGTTGCAGAGAGTGTGACCTCTACAGAAATTACAAGGTCAAACTATGAAAAGCTGGCTAAAATTGCAATTTTGCTGAAAGAATCATTCTATACAGTGGTTGAGAAAGCTGATTACCTTGCAATAAGGTTAGACAGTGAAAAAGAGGTGGTTCAGAAAATTGAAGAGCACTTCCTTCAATTTAAAAGTGAACACGAAGTCCTCACAAAAAAAACATTCTGAACAGATGTTTCAATCACAGCAAGATGCACGTGCAGAAATTGATTAGCTGAATAGCAAAATACAGTTACTTAATGCATCACTATCTGAAGCCAGGGATGATAAAGAGCTGTTGTCCAGAGGATACTTTGCATTAAGACGGGATCACGTCGTGACAGTGTCACAAGTTTCCCGCTGCGAAACTGAGATAGATGTGCTTAAAAAAGATCTACACAAACGCGAAGTGGATAAAGAAGCATTACTGGAGCTATGTATGCGTTTACAAAGTGAATGTCAAACATCACAGGAACGCTTAAAAGCATGTGAGCAGAAACTAAGAGCGGCAACAAATAAAAGTAATGACGAGGCGCAAGGTTGTCTGGAACTCAGAGAAGACCGTGGACAGAGTCCAGGTCACCCACAACCACCTCAGAAAGACGTTGTTGCACCTCCTGCTCGTAATCCACCCTCACCTAAAGTGGTAGGAACAGACCTGAACAGGTCTCCTCCACCAAACATGCAACAGAGTGCATGGAAACTTCCTCTTTCAATGGATGTTCTGCTAAAACTCTCAAAATATGTACAACGCTTTGTACCTGGACCGATGGGTTCAACTGGAACAAAAGCGTACCTGAAAGATCTCGAATTCAGATTGAAAGGTTATCCTAATGCTACGGTTGAGGATAAGATCAGTATGATAAGGCTCACTTCAGACAGAGAGGTGTTCGCCTTCATCGAGCGTCTACCTGATGCAACGAGAAAGGATTACAACCTTCTGTGTGAGGCTTTGATCAGAGAGTACGACCCCTGCACGGGACCTGCTGGTTTCCCAGCCGCTGACAAGGTCAAGCAGGGCAAGAATGAACATCCAAAAATTTATTACAAAAGAATCTTCCAAGCTTATTTTGGTTACAGAAATGAAACCGGAATGGAGGAAGAAGAAAGTTTTAAATATGTTTTCAGCAAAAATTTCCACACTGACATACGCATGTCAGTACAAGTTATGGCAAATTTCAGAGAAAAATCCATCAATGAGATTAAACAGTGTGCTGTGAATGTGTTCGAGGCATGTTCTCATGCTAAGACGCCCATAGAGGTGTTTCCTGGTATAAAGGTTAAACCCCACTCCCTAGAAATGGAAGGAAGGCGTGCGTCGCCACCTCCTCCTAAAACAGGCGAGAAAAGGCAGTATTTTCAAACTAACAAACCACGTAATGAAGGTGCACGCTGGGACAAAAAGGCTCCTCTTTCAGAGGATGAACGTGATTATCGTAAATGGGATATGCGTAGGACGCAAAGATATGGGATCCGAGAGGACCCATATAATCAGGGAAAGTACATAAAGGAACCCCCAAAAGACGTACCTAACCCTCCCCCACCTCGGACGAAACGGACCGAGGCGATAAAATCACAAAGGTCCCGGGAACAAGGCCCTACACCTATGAGCTCGGAAGAGACAGAGGAAATACAAAGGTTTTTAGAAACTTTGATACACGCTGAAATGGGAATCCAACCAGGAGCACAATGTAGTGATCTGATCGCTACTAAATCTGAAGGCGCGAATGACAACATTACAGATGTCGGTGAAACACACTAAGACATTGCTGTCGTTGCCTCCAACAACCCCTCATCGGACGAAGGGGGGGTAAACTCACACACAAACGATGAAAAGTCATCGCAAACTGAAAACTCAGAACCTGATTTTCATGATTTTGAACTAGGCATTCCAGTTCTGGGAGGACTCCCAGATAACCTGGTACCGAGTCAAGAAGCTGGGCCAGTATGTTTCACGAAACCATCACAGGCCATCGCTCTTTTCTCAACCGATGATGTCGACCAAGGACCTCAAAGCTATGGTGTCTTACCCATAGACAGGTCCGACGACTCAGAAAAGGATTCGTTGGAGCTCCCCAAGGAGCAAGAACCCTCATCAGTCTCATCACAGATTGAACAGGTGGTCGCCCAAGCCGACACTCTGACATCTGATGAAGAAAGAGACAAAATTCGCCAAGTTCTTTTAAAATATGAAAAGTAATTTTCAACTGACGCAGACATCATCCAACTTCAGAAGTTGAATGATCCTGCAATTAACTCGATGATACTGTATCTGACTGACCCAGACAAATACACTCCATCGAAAGTCGAACTGGATTCCGATCCAGACCTTAAAGTCCTCTTTCAGCTGCGCAAACAGTTAAAACTACTCAAGGACAACCTAACTTTAGCTCATGGAGCGACGTCCTCACCCGTGTTCGCGGTCTCCCATGACCGAAGGGGGGTGACGCCAGTTAGGATAATGCTACCAGACGCGATAACGTGAGCAAATCTGACATCCAGAGTGAGTGGCGCACCGAAACGTCGTTTTCTAGTTGCTTAATCACTGCTTTTGTCAATGTTGAAACGTTGTTTTACTGGTTGCTTAGTCACTGTTTTTGTCGATGTTGAGACATCGTTTAATTGGTTTTTGGTATTGTTTTTGAACACCCCAAGAAAGAATGAATTTTGTGTGTAGTTAAGTTAGAGACTAAGAGGCCTTTAACCATGCCAACATGCAGTTCATTCATTAAATTGCAATCTTTGCGGAGTCAATGCATATTATTGCTACCTTAAGTACCATAATCTACATTGATCTCACAACGCTTAAGCCGAACCTACTCTAACAATTCTATTCGGGGGGATAGCTAATTCTTTTTGATGAGTCTCGCCAGAGACTTCCAAAACATTTATGGGGAAATCAAACACCCAATCTCAAGTCGTTCGTCTAATAGACAACAGACAATTGAACCAAACTATATTTTGCCATGTAAAGCTAACTTAAACCAAGTTAGAAATGGGAAATAGTTTGGAACCCTTTTCTATAGGTATAAA